CTGTCCCATTGTTTCTTTTTTATTCGTATCCATAACCATGCTTATCCTTATACCTGTTATCTAATACTTGCTTGACAAATACCTAAACAAACAAACAAACAAATATTGTGAAGACCTAGCTCTTCCCCAAGCACTGGACTAGGACATTAGGTGAACCCAATATAGGTGTGTTGTGAGTCCATTATGGTGCCTTGGCTATTGTATTATGGCCTTACTGTTTCTTAATGTTGACTTTGCTTTCTGTGTTGTGATTGATGGTTTTAATATTTATTAATGGTGGGAATTCAAAAATGTTTACTATCAGTTCTGTGAGCATGGCTTGGTGAGCGTGGTGTGGCTTGGTGAGCGTGGCTTGGTGGGCCTGGCAGGGGAAGGATACTGTAAAATCTCCATTCCCTCCCCACTCCTGAGGGAAGGTTGCTGCAAAATCCCATTCTCTCCCCACCCCACTAACCTGCTTTCCAGCCCCATTCTCCTGTGCAGGGCAACAAAAGAAGACCCAGCTGATCAGCTAGAACTCAGGAGGCAGAGAAGAGATGGAGTCCGGGCCAGTCAGAGGTGGCATTTGCTGGTTTTCTGAACTACTCAAAATTTCCGCTACTGGTTCTCCAGAACTGGTCAAAACCTGCTGAATACCACCTCTGGATTAACCCAATATAGGTGTGTTGTGAATCTGCTACGGTGCCTTGGCTATTGTATTATGGCCTTATTATTTCTTAATGTTGACCTTGCTTTCTGTGTAGTGATTGAAGGCTTTAATATTTATATAGCCGCCATCTTGGACAAAACCCAGACATCAGTAAGATGGCACCCAAAGACAAGTTTTTAAGAGTATGTCTGAGGCAGCAACTGATATGAGAGGAAGATCAAGAGCCATGGCAGAACAAGGCCCAGCATGAGATGTACCATGAACAGATCGCTGAGGTGGCAGACATAGGAAATCCTACCACTAGCCAGGCAGAGGGTGGAGGGCAGGGCAGCCATGCAGTGGCATCAGGGGTGGGAGCAGAAGAAAGGGGCGAGGCGGCAGAATCAGGGAGACGGGCAGCAGTGGCCCTACACCCACAATCTCAGTTTCTCACAGGGGCCCTTGAGAAAACTAATTGCCCACCCCTGATTGAAGAGTAAAAGCAAAAATAAGAGCGCACAGAAGAAACAGTGCAGAAAAGACACAGAAAAAACATTTTTAAAAATCCTAAACAAGCGGGAATAGAAGAGTTATTGCACAACTTGACCTATTAAGTGAGTTTCATTTCTACACATCTAATAAGCATGCAGTGATAGACAGGAAAGAGCGTAGTGAGATACTGGAGAGGAAAGGACATCGGAAGCAGCTTATTCTGCTTGATTCTGACATGAAGATAATGAATCATGCCTTTTTTCACAGCATAAGAAATCTCAAAGTATAAGACTATTTCGGCAATATGCCTTAACAAACTTTTCGGGAAAGGGAATCACTGACATACTACAGATGTTGTTGAACAAGAAGTCTCCCAGGATAAGTCTTATTTATTAATGAAGGAAACAATCAATCAATCAATCATCAATCAATCAAGGAACTGCCAAAAAAGCTAAACAGCCCAATCACCGCCACCCCCAACATCAGCAGTGTAGGCCACTAGAATATGTAGTAAATTGACAAACCCAACTCTCTACTAGCCCTGATGATATTCCTAATATCCACAAGAAAACAACCACGCTCAGAGAGCACCAAAGACCCCCTGATATACAAATATTTTCCTTTATTGATAACTAAAGAGTTTACTCGATCATTCTAAGCTAAGAGTACAAGCCACTCATGTATTTTCCAACCAATTGAAATGTTGCTTCTGATCATTGTCAAAAGCACATACCAGGGCAGATAACTTGAGATAAAATTAAACATGGAGAGAGATTTAAATATTTTGACTTGGTGTCCAGTGGTGGGATGCAACCGGTTTTACAACCGATTTGGTGAGCGCGCACATGTGCTCGAAAACTGTCCATTTTAAGCTTTAAAACTTACCTTCTATGTCAGCGTTGGTGAGTAAAACAGCTGATGCGTGGCAATCTGCTGTGCCACACCAATCAGCTGAGCTAAACAAACAGGAAAATATAGGACAGGAAAGGGTGGGCAGGGCCAACTGTTCACCAGAACTACCAGTTCGCTAGAACCAGTGTGAACTGATAGAATCCCACCACTGCTGGTGTCTGTTCATTTGTCTAACACCATAATGGTTTGTTTAAGAATCTTTAAAATCTTTACCAACAAGGAGAGACAAAGCAAAGCCAACTGGAGCTTGAACCCACACCAGTCCTCTTGAAGGGAGGTAGACAATTTCAGCCGTGCCATTGATGTAGGCTCCTCCAACCCATGTTGCTGAAAGGAACCGAGAAAGGGGAAAATGAAGTGAATAAAAAAGACATGGATAATTATAGACGGTCCTTGACTTACAACCAAGGTCCCAAAGTTTTGTTGCTAAGCAAGACAGTTGTTAAGTGAACATTGCCCCATTTTACAACATTTCTTGCCACTGTTGCTAAGTGGATCACCGCAGTTATTAAGACATTCTTAGTCAGCTGAGGAGGATCGGATCACTCATGATTAAAAGCATGTTGCTTCCAATCCCCAGATTTTGACTAAACCCGCTCTAGCTCATTTTCTGTTGGCACACCAGCCTTGCATTCAATGTAAGAGAATAACAGAATAACAGAGTTGGAAGGGATCTTGAAGGTCTTCTAGTCCAACCCCCTGCTCAAGCAGGAGACCCTACGCCATTTCAGGAAAATAGTTGTCCAATCTCTTCTTAAAAACTTCCAGTGTTGGAGCATCCACAACTGCTGGAGGCAAGTTGTTCTGCTGATTAATTGTTCTGTCAGAAAATTTCTCCTCCTCCAATCTCCAGTGTTGGAGCACCCACAGCTTCAGAAAGCAAGCTCTTCCTCTAGTTAATTGTTCTCATTGTCTGGAAAATTCTCCTTTTTTTTTTCAAGTTTTCTCCCCGATTAGTTACCATCCATTGCTGCTTGTCCTACCTTCAAGTGCTTTGGGGAATAATGACCCCTTCTTTTTTATGTACAATGAGAGCTTATGCACTGAAGACAAATTCCTTGTGTGTCCAATCACACTTGGCCAATAAAGAATTCTATTCTAATTCTACTCTACTTCTACTCTACTCTCTTCTATTATATTCTATCCTATTCTTTTTCTACTCTACTTCTACTCTACTCTATTCTATTTTGCATTTCAGCCTCTTAGATGTGGGAACACTTGCTATCATATCCAGTCCAGAGTAAGCATTAGAGTAAAAGATGCTATTTATCATTCCAAAGTTTTTCTACTTACCAGTTGCTGTGAACAACCCAATGCAAAAATTCATGTTCCTGCCTCCCACCATGGCTACTTCACTGGGCTTCTGCTGTTCCTTCTGCCTGGTTTTCCGAGAAGCCCATATTCCAATAGCTAAAGTCAGGGCATAGAATAAAAGCAGAGCTACTAAGCCACTGATATTCAAAGCCATTTTTCATAAAAATCTCAAGAACGGACTGAAAATGGATCCAGGGAGTAAGCAAATGATGCGAGCCGGCCAGAAGTGCCTTACAGAATGCTCCCTGGTTTTGTACAAACCATGCAGAAGAGCTGTAACCTTGTGATAAAGACAGTTGTTTCTTCTCTAGACCAAACAATCTCTTGAGTCTTTAAATATTAGATAAGAATAATTCTTTTGCTGCTGAGTTGGGTGCTCCAAATTCATCCACCAATATTTTTCTTTATACGAAGTGGACAAAAGCGGTGTAAAGTTTTCTGCCTAAGCAGGGGGTTGGACTAGAAGACCTCCAAGGTCCCTTCCAATTCTGTTATTCTATTCTAATATTCTAAAGTTAGATCTGTATTGTTTTTTTAAATGAGATTGTATCCAGCCTGTCAGAGTGTTTGCAGTGTGACTGCTGTTGTGAGACAACCCAGGAGCAAAACACAGGACACAGAGGCTTTGTCTTTTAACAGTGGTTTATACACAAGACTGCTATATACATACATTCACGTGTTAGGCAAATATCAGGCAAGCAATCAACCTTCAACTTTACATGAACTACAATGGAGATAGAACACAAGGAGAGAGAGGCGCTCTCACATGGCCGCCCTTATATAGACAGCTTCTTAAAGTGGCAGTACTCTGCTGACTCATCCTCAGTTCATCATCTTGGCTTATAGCCTTACAGCAACTGGTCAGCTATTAAATCTTCATTACCTTAACACAGCCATAACTTTTTTTTTTCATTTCTTTTTCCAGTTTTTTTTTCCTAACTTAGTTTCTGATCCACCTCAAATTGCAAATTGGGTTTGATGCACTTGGGTGGAACGGTTCTCTGCTGTAATTCCCCCCCGCCCCCTTACATATTTGCAAGAAGCTGTATTTGTTGGATTGAACCAGCTTGGGTGTATGTGAAAGTATAGGCCTTCTTCAAGTACTACACTCCTGTGTAGAAAGTTTGAGGAATTAGATCCTGGGTTCACTACGGGTAGTCCTCGACTTATGACAACAATTGAGCCCAAAATTTCTGTTGTTAAGTGAGACATCGGTTAAGTGAGTTTTGCCCCATTTTATGATCTTTCTTGCCATGGTTGTTAAGTGAATCAGTGTGGTTGATAAGTTAGTCACCCTGTTGTTAAGTGAATCTGTTAAGGGGATCACATGACCCGCGACACTGCAACCGTCGTAAGTATGAACCAGTTGCCATGCATCTGAATTTTGATCACATGATCATGGGGATGCTACAGAGATTGTAACTGTGAAGAACGGCCATAAGTCACTTTTTTCAGTGCCATCGTAATTAAATGAATTAAACAGTCACTAAATGAACTGTTGTAAGTTGAGGACTACCTGTATTCCATTCTGAAGCCCACAGATCCATCTGACACCGATTGGACTGTTCAACCTTAGGTCTAGAAGCTACTTCTAGCCAGTCACTTGGTTCTGATAACAGGACCAAGTGACTGACCTAGAAGCTTGTATTTCAATCTTTCTGTCTACTTTTTCTTATCTGAAATACTGTAGTATAGGTTCTCCTGCTTGAGCAGTGGGCTGGACTAGAAGACCTCCAAGGTCCCTTCCAGCTCATTCATTCTGTTCTATTCCATTCTTTCCAGGTCATTATGTGTAATAGAGGACTTTCTCCCTAGACTGGGCTATTTGGGAGTACCCTTGGACTGACACAGTGATCCCCAAACTTGGCAACTTTAAGATTTGTGGACTTCAACTCCCAGAAGTTGAAGAATTGCCCACCCCTGATTATATATATATAAATATAGGCTGAAGAATTCTGGGAGTTGAAGTCCACAAGTTTAAAATTGCCAAGTCTGGAGACCTCTGGACTGACACCTATAACCATCTGACATCCTGTTATTTATTTACACCTGACATTCTTGTCTTGGACACCCCCCTAGACTTCAATAGAAATACTTGTTTTAGTCATTGACTCTTAAATTCTTGTTTTTTCCTTCCCCCAGAAAACAAAAAACTATGACTTAAGCCCCACTTAATCACAAACTACACAGTTGTAAGGAGCATCTCCTGTGCCTTTCAGAAACCTTGACTGGACCTGCTTTGTTTTGTTTCACATCATGATCACCAATTATGTTGCAAGGATAATTTTCTTCATAATAAATCCTTCAACTTTGCAGCGTTGTCTTCCAAATTTGCAGCTGACAGATTGCTGAACTATTTTGTTGCTGTAGTTGTACATTGTCCTTCACCAAACTGACCTAGAAATAGATGGCTGTCTGGACTTTTACTTCTTTTCTTGATACAGATGTTTCTTGTGTATCTCAAAGGCAACTTTGGTTGGAAATGTGACTCGTATTTGGATGTGACGACTTACAACCTAGACCAGGGGCGGGAAACTATGTCCTCCTTTACGACCTGTGGACTTCAATTCCCAGAATTGAATTCAACTCCCATGCTGGTCTAGGAATTCTGGGAGTTGAAGTCCACAGGTCATAAAAGGGCCATAGTTGCTTACCCCTCATCTACAGAAACCCCTAAAGAAGATTGGTATTGGATGCGTAGGACTGTTCCTGAGTCAGCCATCTTTAGGGGTTTGTCTAGGTCAGAGTTGGGCAACTATGGCCCTTTTACAACCTGTGGACTCCAATTTCCAGAATTCCTTAGTCAGCATGATAGACCCAGCTTGTAACAAAGCAATTCAGATGGACTAGATTTGGTTGAAGTTAATGCATGTCTCACTTACAAAAAAAAAACTTTAATAATTTACTAATAAATTAAAGGTCCAGGCCCTGATGTGTAGGCAATCATATGACTGTGGGTTTTTTTTTTTTCAAACTCCATATCCAAGCCAAAGCAAAGCCATTCTTAATGACATCATGGGCTCCTCTTAACCTCATTGGCTGGAGGTTGCCATGGCAAATGTCAACATTTCCGGCATCGTTGATTCTTTTGGACAGCAGCACTGCAACATCCAGTTCAAAATAACTGGATCAGAAGAAAAGTGATTCAAAAATTATTTTATTTAGTATTTATTTAAATAAGGGGCAAGATCAGAAAAAGCAGACAATGTCCTTGGAGGATCTCTCGGCAACCAATAGGAATTTCCGTCTCCAGGTAGAGGAACTGAGAGAGAACATAGCCTGCTTGGACGCCGAGAACCAGGAGTTTCTCCAAGAGAAGAAATACATCAAAGAGCAGCATAGGTGTCTTCGGGAGACAGTAGATCACCTTAAATCCACCATGGACCACCTGCAGAAAACTGTGGAGGACGTCAGAGAAAGTTTGGATCATGTCAACATGGCGATCCATGAATTAGCGCTGCAGAACAAGTCCTTGGTGAAAGCCAACAGCGACCTCAACCAGGAAATGCACGAAGTGACCAGCCAAGTGGCCGTCTTCAAAAACGACAAACCAACCCACGAGAATGACCTCAGGGAGATGCGGAACCTTCCGTCGGAGGTTCAGAAGTACCTGCGGAACCTGGAGGACAAACTGGTGGAGACAGAGCACAACTACCGCGTGGAGAAAACCCAATCCGGCCAATTGAAGGAGAAAGTCATGACAATCCAGAAAGCCAGGGAACACCTGAGGAAGCGCATCAAAGAGCTGCAGAACCAACAGGACCTATGCGTGCAGCAGGCCACATTTTTGCGGCTGGACCAGGAGAACCAGGTGCCAACGGGCATCCTGATGCATGAACTTGTGGAGGCCAGGCTGGTGGGGGTGGCCCGGGACGGGACAAAGGAAAGGATTCTGCATTGGTTATGGATGGCAGCCAAGATCCTGATGATGTTGCTCTTTGGCTGTTGCCTATTGTTTGGTCTTGCCTTGGTATACACACGCTTTTTTAATCCGTTGTTCATTTCTGACACACTTTTGGTGTTCCTCAGTGACCAGAGCATCGGCAGACTTCTGCACTGTTTCTCCCCGTATCTTGAACAGACAAACGATGGCCTTTTGCCATTTTGAGAAATGAAATTCTTTCTCTCCCTTCGTTGACTTTCTACCTAGGATGCAAGTAGAAGGGCATACCTGATAATTGAGTTTGGTGGACAACAAAAATGGATTCTGCGTCTTGGGATCTCCAGCGTTGAAATCTCTATATAAACCATAGATATATGTATATAAATATTTTTTTCTATTGTTGGCCCTATCTTTTTTTTTCCCTGTTGTTTTATTGTTTCTTCTTTCAGCTTTTGCTTAATTAAAGAAAATCAAAAATAAACACTAATTAATCCATCACGTTTTCCTTCTACCGCGTTCCAAAGTGAGAGAAGATACACAAAAGGGAGCAAATCAGAATCAATTCTCACAGGACCCAATTCACTCAAATAAATCATTGGCATGAGAACCTATCTACCTTGTAGTACCGGTTAAGTTTGGGGAATCTCAGCTCTCTCAACCTGAATATCCCAAAATTGCTTGTTTTCATGAGGAAACTGGACTTTCCTGTTTTTCTTTGAAGACATTTCGCTTCTCACCCAAGAAGCTTCTTCAGCTCTGACTGGAGATGGTGGGGAATGGGAGGATTTATACTCCTTGCAGACAGCTGGTCATTTGCATCCTTTTAGCGAAACGTTAAGGTCACCTGGAGGTTTATCTGTGTCCTCAGCATCACCTGAGCGGTGCAAATGGGGGTGGAGCCTTCTTGGAACTGTTGAAAGGACTGTATTGTAGATTGGAGATAGACGAGGTCATATGCCTCTCTGTGTTTAGAAAAGGCTGTTCAATTTTGACATAGATGGCCTCTTTGACCCCCGCTTGATCTATTTTGATTTATGTCAAAACTGAATAGCCCTCTCTCAATGGAAGGGGAGGGATACGGCAACATTTTATCACTAATCTACAACACAATCCTTTCAGCAGTTCCAAGAAGGCGCCACACACATTTGCACTACTCAGGTGACCCTGAGGACACAGCAAACCTCCAAGTGTCCCCAACAACTTTCTAAAAGGATGCAAATGACCAGCTGTCTGCAAGGAGTATAAATCCTTCCATTCCCCACCATCCAGACAGAGCTGAAGAAGCTTCTTGGATGAGAAGCGAAACGTCTTCAAAGAAAAAAACCAGAAAGTTCCAGTTACCTCTTGATAAAGCACCTTTAGGACAATCATGACCTGGATGACTGAGAATCTCCATAGACATCTCTCAAACTGAATGTAATTTAAGAATATTAAATGGTGTCATCTGCCAGATGTCCAGGATATATATATATGTGTGTGTGTGTGTTTTTAAATGGGTGGACTTGTGACAGTTTGAGAAAGTTGTGATAGAGCTTCAAAGGAGCACATGTGCAGGAAGTTATCTGGCTTCATGGTGTTTGGTGAAAACTCTACCCATGCCAGCTGAGGAATCCTGGGATCGGTAGTTCATCTATGCCCACTGGGGAATTCTGGTTCTGAAGTCCACATATCTTCAAGCGACCTGCATTTTTCCAAGCAATGCAGGTTTTTGTAAAAGCCCTTGGATGAAACAGGAATAGATGAATCTAACTCATAAAATACAGATAGTCCTCAACTTAGGACCAAAATGGAACCTGCCCATTATGGTTATAACTCATGGTGGTCACGTGACAAACCTGATTTTATGATTTATTTATTTTTTTACAATGGCTATTAAGCAAATATCAGTCGTGAAGCAAACGCCATGGTCATTAAGTGAAGCAAGTGTTTGCTATGGGATGGTTTTGCCAGAAGCTGGGAGTAAATGCAACTCCAGTTAAGATTTTGAGCACTTTCTGAACCATCTGGAGAGGATATTAGATCAGGAATGATTAAATCTTTGAGATCTCAGTTAATTGAGAAGAAAAGAAATTGGATCTTGAAATGTTGATGTTATATGTGTTGATGGCAGCAAGAATACTCCATGCACAAAAATGGAAAGATACTTTGATTCCCACAATGGACAAATGGCCGCAAAAGTAGATGGACTTAGAAGAGATGGCTAAACTGACTGCTTGGATTAAAGAAACGTACACAATGTTGTTTCTGCTTGGAAACCGTTTCTGAACTTTGTGCTTGAGATGGGAAAAAAAATAAAACTTTGATGTTATGTTTTGCTGGTTAAATAGGTTTGTCATTATAGAAATGGCTAGTATATATTATTATATAAAAGTAAACATCATGGTTTCATGTTATTATTACCTTACTCTACTGCACCAAAAGGAGTCGGAAGTCAATGCCTTTTTTTTCCTTTTTCCCCTCAACCTACAAACTTGAAATTTGGCATATATGGTCCTCTTGGCTTCCAGGTGCTTGAAAATCCAGAACAAAACATCAGTGTTCTTTCATTATTTATGACAGGATTTCCCAACCCTGGCAACTTTGAAATCTATATATATAAAAGCGAAATACCACTCACACATCATCACAAAAATCTCCAGAACTGTAAAACCTACAAACTTGAAATTTGGCACGTATGTTTTTCTTGGCTTCTAGGTGCTCACTAAGAAAGGATTTTTCGAAATGACCATCAGAGCATTAGTATTTTGTATATTATTATTAACACACGCTGATGCTAAGGACTTCTGCTCCCTCTCCCCACCTGAAAAGAAATCTCTTCCAAATGTAAAACACAAGCAGAGGCGTTTCAGTTTTAGTTTCACAGCACCAAGCAGCTTTATAGTTGAGCTAAGCCACACCCAGGCTCCTTGCTGTCTCCTTGCTCACACAGCAAATACGGCTTCAGTTTCCGAAAAGCCCTCAACCCAGAAATATTAGCTCTATCTTTCTTTTAAGGTTATATTAACATCTTGCAAGGTAAGAACATCTGTGACCCCCCTTCACTTTTACAGTCCAAGAAACTAGAGATATTTTCCATAACCTCATTTCCTGCTGAGGCTCAACTATCTCTTATCTTACTGTCAGCTCGCCTGTAGCTCTTCCTTCTGTCTCCCAAGGTTATTCACAAACATCATTAGATCCAGATACTCCAGGATGTGCTGTGAAGGGTGGAGATAGCAGGGGACCTCAGAGGACACTCCCCAAGGGGGAGGCAGGGGGGCGGAGAGAGAGGGTGTCAGACTGGCTCGCTTGTTTGAGGGTCAGACCAGTCCCACACGTGTAGCGATCCATCGCTTGCAGCCGAGAGTAATGTCTGGGGCTTCCAAGGGTGCCAAGTGTGGGTGGTGACCACCGGGCTGCCCCCATCCTTGCCTGGGGTGCTGAACATATGTCCTTTGTGAATGAACACCGGCTTGGCTTCCTGCCCTGAGGAGTCCCAGTCCTGTGTATTGTAAACCTGAACAGTCCCGTCAAAACCTTGGAGAAATGAAAAATTGAAATAAATAGCCAATAGTACTTAAGACTTATATACCGGTTCGCAGTGCTTTACAGCCTTCTCTAAGTGGTTTACAGAGTCAGCATATTCCCCCCTCCCCCAACAATCTGGGTCAAATGCTTTGTTGGAAGGATGCAAGAGAGACGGGGGGGGGGCGTCAAACCTGGGGGTGGCACATAAGGGAAAAATGGTGTGAAACAAATATGTTCTTTATTAAACCCAAAGAGTTATGGAGAAAAAGTGAGAGAAGGCAGCATTTGATCTACTGGTTAAGGCGGGGGTGCCAAAATGGTGGCCCACAGGCTGGATGCATCATGCATAGGCCACGCCCACCCCAGCTCTGTGAAGGGAAAAAATATTGTGAAATTTCAGTTTAACCCCGGTGGATTAAAGTGACCCCGGTGGATTAAAGTGCTGGCTTAGAAACCAGGAGACAGTGACTTCTAGTTCTGCTTTAGGCAGGGGTGAGATTCTAGCAGTTCGGCCCAGTTCAAGTGAACCGGTAGCTCCGAGGATCATCTGGGAGAAAACTGGTTCGCTCCAACGATCAGCTGTTGGGCCTCCCCACCTGCCCTGGCTCTAGTCTGTGCTTTATATCCTGATTTTCAGGCTCAGCTGATTCGCTCAGCACAGTGGATTGCTGTGCACCAGCTGTTTAACACACAGGGGTTGCAGAAGAAGATCAGTAGCAAACGCTCTGTACATGCGCAAAGCGTATGTTTGACATGCGAAGTCCGCACTCACAGAACCAGTTGTTACACCAGTTGAATCGTACCCTGGCTTTAGGCATGAAAGTCAGGTGGACTTTGGACCAATTACCGGGAGATTGTGAATTCTAGTCCTTCCTTAGTCCTGAAAACCAGTTGGGTGATCTTGGACCAGTCCCTCTCACCCAGTCCAACCCATCTCATAAGGTTGTTCTTACGGGGACAACAGGAGAAGGAAGTTGTGATCCACAGGTGCCATGACTCAGCTGAGCCCCTCTGAAAATTGTGACCATTTTTCAATCAGGCTGCTCCTCCGCTTTGCACACCACCCACCCGTACAGACACCATAAGGATGATGGTAGCAAAAGCAGCAAGCAGCCTTGCAAAGGTAAGGACCATCACAGCTTACCTGACACCGCCAGGTTGTCGCCCAGTACAGGAGCCAAGCTGATGGACAGGAAGTCTGCCCCACGGAGATTAGAGGTGGGTGCACAGCACTGGGCCATTTTCAGGGGACTGGAAGGGTATCTGATGTCTGTCAACACAACGAGGCCACCCAAGGAGAGACGGGCAATCAGTGGCGCCTCTCCAGAGCCGACTCCTGCACACCAGCTCAGACCCTCCATCTGGGCCCAAGGGGTCTGAGCCTCCTCGAGCTCTCCCAGAATCCCCTGCTGCTGCCGGAAGTCCACAAGGAACAGCTGCCCTTTGGCACCACACACCACAGCGGTGGCTTCATCCAGGAAGTCCAGACTGGCAATTTTGTCAAGGCTGGCAGAGCCTGAAGGAGGAAAGAATCGAGTGGGTTGTGGGAGAGAGCTCTGCCACGAGAAACGAGTTCAAATGATGGTTCCCCCCAAAAAACTAACTTTGAGCTAATCATGAGGAGACAATGGGTTTCTAGTCTCTCTTTAGGCATGAAAGCCAACTGGGTGACTTTTGGGCAATCACCAGGAGACTGTGAATTCTAGTTCCACATTACATGAGAACACCGGCTGGATGTCTTTGAGCCAGTCACCAGGAGACTCTGAGCTCTAGTCTTGCCTTAGGCAGAAAAGTTGGATGGATGACTTTGGCCTAGTCCAGTGGTGTCCAAACTTGGAAACTTGCTGGCTGGGGAATTCTGGGGGTTGAAGTTCACAAGTGTTAAAGTTTCCAAGTTCGAAGACCTTTGGCCTAGTCATTCTCCCTCAGCCCAATCCACCTCAAAGGATTGTTGTGGGGAAAATAACAGAAAGGTGTGTTGCATATGTTTGTTCTCATGAGTTACTTATAAAGTAATACAGGTGGGATACTAATAAAATAAAGAAATAAATACATCTATAAATCACATTTATATTTTTAATGTGTGTATCAGTATGTACATAGAAAAAGTGATACTAAATTATCTTCTATATAATCTGTATTACTTCTGAAAAGCAGAAAACACTCTGCTACGTGTTTGTAGATCTCTTTGATCATTCTCAAGGAACGCTTTCTGAAGTTCTGTATAAAAGCTGGTATGCAAATTCCTAAACCCAATGAAGACCAAAATCATGATTATCTTTGGCAACCTCCAAAAATCAGTTCCCAGTTTTGCGGCAACCTGGCAGTACAGCTGGCTTTATATCTGTAGTGTAGATACACCTGTGATTAGAATAGAGGCTTTCTCTCTAATTTTTGTTACAAATACTGCAGTTCTGGGAAAAAATAATTCTGCTATGATTGCAAAGCATACACATTTATAAATCCCCTTCCTGTTTTCTTGAATTTAATCTGAGATCAAAAAGCAAAGCGAGGAACGGAAACAAAATCAGCATCTCTCCCTATTTCTAACCCTTTGGAAAGTTTTCTTCCTAAGAAAGGATTTTGAAGATGGTTTTCAAACAAACTGCCTACCGGCCACCCAAAGACTTTTCTCTGATTCGATTTCTGTCATTTGGAGATTGGCGATTCTTTGCCCATGGAGGACGCAGGCCGGTTTGGCACAGCTGGTTGCAATTTTGGACCAGGAAGTATCTTCAGTCTTTGTGGGAGAGGTGACACTCAGTAGCTTAATCATATCTAGGGTGGAGGAGAGGAAAGAAGTAAGAATTTCCACAAGACTTCATTTCCATCTGCAAGTAGTCCTCAACGTATGAACACAATAGGGACCTGAACTTTCCTTGTTAAGGAAAGTGGTTGTTAAGTGCTCAATTTGACAATAATTTTTGCACTGGTTGTTAAGTGAATCACATTGTTATTAAGAAAATCCAAGCTTTCCCCGATTGACTTTGCTTGTCAGAAGCTGTCTGGCAAAGTTGCAAATGGCAATCACATTACCTTGAAACAATGCAACTGTTATAAATATACACACCAACTGCCAAGCATTCAAATTTGGATCACATGACTTTGGGGGTACTGCAATGGCTGTAAGTGTGAGGAATGGTTGTAGATCACTTTTTTCAATGCCATTGTGACGTTGAATGGTTGCTGAACAAATGATTGTAAGTTAAAAACTCTTTGTAGTTTCCAAAGCATCACTTTTCTCCGATTTCTCTCCCTTTAGAGATCACAGCTCAGCCTTTTTTCCTGGGTATTCTACTAGGTGCCTGGCTGAAATCATACTGGCATCAAGAAAAGCGCCAGCCTCTGAGCACTGGTGAACTGCACCTTTCTCTCTAAGTCAAGAATTATAAGGCGAAGGTTAGAGGAAAAGCCATTTTCTGTGTGTATCTTCAAAGTAGAATGGCAAAGATATATCAGAGATATACAAACATCACCAAACCTCTGTTTGTATCATCAAAACATAGTGGGTGGTTGGAGTAGATGACCTACAAGGTCCTTTCCAACTCTGTTAATCTGTAATCTATAAAACGCCTTTCAGGAAGGTGTTTTTTTTTTAAAGGTGGCTTTCATTCAATTTCACCAACCTAGCTTATTCCTTCAAAATTCACAGAATTAGCATTATTTGTGTCAGTGTGTCTCATGGCTACCTGGAGAATTCTGGGAATTGAAGTCGACCCATCTTCAAGTTTCTAAGGCTGAGAAATACTGGTTTATGCTAACAATTGTGAGGAATTTACATTATGGAAAAGGATTCAGGTGTCTTCTTTAGAAAAGCAACTAATTAAACTGTGGGAGCGAGAAAGCTTTTCATCCTTATCCCTGCAAACTGAGTGGGGTCTGGTTGAAACCCAGTTAGGAAGTGGAGTAGTTTCTCGGAGGCACACCTGTTTCATCTGGTTCCATGCACCAAACCTGTAGTCTACTGTCCGGTGGCCCACTGGTTACCAACAAGCTGAAAGCACAAATCAAGAAACAGAGCAGTGAAGATAATTCCCTCTCCATCACACAAAAGGTCCACTTTAAGATGGGTGGACTTCAACTCCCAGAATTCTGGAAGTGGAAGTCCATCCATCTTAAAAGTTTGTAAGGTTAAGAAACGCTGCTATAAACAAGGCTAAACTGAGATGAGGGGGTCAGGATGTTGGTGGGAACAGCTCCAGTCTGAACTGTTCAGAGTTTTGCAGCGTAAATTCAGCACCAGAAAAATAAACACAGATGGCCGGTGCTTCATTTAACATCTTTATAAACATACCAGTTGTAGATTTCTTTACAAACCAGTTGTAGATTTCTCCAACATGGAGCAAACTCAGACAGAAACATGTTGCAAGTAACTTCAGTAGCAACTCAGCAGCTCAGAAACAGACATCAGTTTCACCTTTTTTTTTTTCAACAGGCAAGCAAGCAAGCAAGTTAATTCATCTTCTATGGACAGACTCAGAGCTCAACATTGCAGAGCTGCAGAGCTTTGAGTTCAGAAAACTGGGAAATCAACTTATCTCTTTGATAATGTCTCATTTCTATCCCGTGAAACGTGAATAGAATAGAATTCCTGATTGACCAAGTGTGATTGGACACGCAAGGAATTTGTTTTGGTGCATATGCTCTCAGTGTACATAAAAGGAAAGATACATTCGTCAAGAATCATAAGGTACAACACTTAATGATAGTTATGGGTACAAATAAGCAATCAAATCATACTAGGAAACAGTCAATATAAATCATAAGGATGTAAGCAACAAGGTTACAGTCATTAGTGAGAGGAGATCGGTGAAAGGAAGGATGGGAGGATTAATAGTAATAGTAATGCAGACTTAGTAAATACTTCGATAGTGTTGAGGGAATTATTTGTTTAGCAGAGAGTGATGGCATTGGGGAGACCTTCTGAAGAGGCCCCTGTTGAATTCAGAGAGAGCCATGGAGATTCATGCTAAGTATCCTTGAACCAGGATGAGTATGAGGAAAACAGATAAGACACATAGAAGGAATGTGAGGTAATTGAGATAACCTTGAAGTCCTTAGTTCTCTGTACGCTTTATCAAAATGACGAGGGCAATGTAACCGACATGTTCCTTTTTATTAAGATTCTAACTCTTGCTTGGTTAGTAACGGCAGAAGGTTGAGGAAGTATACACAGTCCTCGACTTACAACTACAAGTGAAACCAACATTTCTGTTGCTAAATGAAATGTTCGTTAAGTGAGTTTTTTTTTCTCCCTTTTATAACCTTGCCACGGCTGTTAAGTCAGTCACTGCAGTTGTTAAGTTAGTAACACAGGTTGTTAAGTGAATCTGGCTTCCCCATTGACTTTGCTGGTCAGAAGGGGATCACATGGCCCTGGGACACCGCAACGGTCATAAACACGAGTCAATTGCCTAGTATCTGAATTTTAATCAAGTGATCATGAGGATGCTACAATAGTTGTGTGAAAAACAACCATACATTACTCTTTTCGGTGCCATTGGTCACTAACTTTGTACTAATTTAGTAACATTGGTCACTAAATGAACTGTTGTTAACCTGTAACTTGAGGTCTGCTGGTTATAAATATTTATGCTTACATCATCTATTACCCATGCATATGTGTGATTGTATCATTTTCTCCTCCATTCCTGAAATATATGAATATGAGTGCATTCTTTTGCCTACAAGAATTCCTACAGTGCATAGTTTTAAATAAATACTACAGCGAGCCTTGGTTATTGTTTTTGGGGTCCCATGTTTGATAGCACATTAGCATCCTGAATGCTTCAGACCCTAAAAATCACAGTCCCATCATCCACATCAAGCCTGTGTGCAATGTGTGAAACTCATCATTATATTCACAAGAGATCCCCGCAGCACAATTACTTCACGCACAAAAATGGAAGGGTATTTCAATGGAGGAATGGTTGCAAAAGCTGGTGGAGATAGCACAGATGGCTAAATTGATTGCTTTGGTCAAAGAAAAAAAAAACAGAAGTAATTTTGGAAACCTGGAAATCGTTTCTGGACTTTGGGCTTGAGGTGGGAAAAAAATGAAACTTTGATTTTGGGTTTCACTGATTAGATAGATGTGTTGTTGCAGAAATGGCTAGTTTAGTGGTGGCTAACCTTTTTGGGCTGCTGTGCCAAAAATTGTGCACATGCTTGCACGCTCATGCTTGCGTTCTAGCACCCAGAAGGCAATGTGCACCCCCCAATGCCCCTACGCATGCATGCACAATCCCCACCCACCCACCCCCACCACCTCCTAACATGCACTGCACCACACAGTTATTATTCTCAGTCAGTTTGAGATCTTTTTCGGCCTTCCAGAAATTTGAGGAAAATTTCTGCAGGCCGAAAACTAGGCCTGTTTTCTCACTTTCAGTATTTCCGGAAAAACAGGAAGTGATGAAACAGGCCTAGTCTTTGGCCTGAAAAGCCTGCAGAAGCCTACAGAAGCCTTCCTCAAGCCTCTGGGAGTCCAAAAAAGGCCTCAAACTGGCTGAAAATCAGCTGTGAGGCGCGCGCATGCGCAGTGAGGCAAGTTTGCCTGCAGCTTGCGTGCCGGCACGAACAGCTCTGCATGCCACCTGTGGCACGCGCACCATAGATTCATCATCACAGGGCTAGTTTATACTATTATGTAAAAGTAAAAAGTTGAGGTTTGATGTCACTTTTTATTCTACTGCACCAAAGAGAGTTAGAAGTCATTACCTTTTCTTTCTTTTTCCCTTCTCTATACTTTTCCCTTCTCTTTTCCCTATTATTTACTTTTGCATTTTATGTTATAAACTAATAAAAAGGATTGTCCCCCAAAATTTATAAAGACAAGAACGCTGTATCTCTGGCCCAGATTAGCACTCAAGTTGGCTATCAGTGGTCCAGTAATGTTTCTTTCAAATACAGTTTTTGCTTCTTCTTTTAGGCCTCCCTAACTCAGCCTAAGTCACGAACAAAGCTTTTAACCTCCTACCTGGTTCCTGGGACATGTTTGAGCCTGTAGATGGGGCGATCAGAGATTCCACCCCTTTCAACCTTGAAATCTCTCTCCGGACATAAGCCCTGCCAAAAAAAAATCCAAGGATCCATTCGTCATATTGAAAGAAAATAAAACAGCCAGAACAGCAAGATAACGTCGGCCACAACTTAAAAAAAATAAAATAAAGGGAAAAGTTAACATCTGCACTGCCTGTTCCCTGTTGGTGTTAGAGGCTAGTGTCCAGCTCCCTGGTAGCATTGGGCTGATTGTGGAAAAGGGAAGCAAAGTCAGCCTTGGGTCACTGGGATGGTTAAGTACTAGTTGTCCTTGAGGCAGCTCCACCTCACGCAATTTATAGCTCAACTATTGATCCTGTTTCCCGCCTCCCCCCAGGGTGTGTCATAAATCACATTCTCCAACAGAGCCACCTTCCTGGGCTTTAGAGATCATGCCTTGGGATACAGCCTTGATGCCTTTGGGATACGGCCTTGAGAAAGGTATACGTTGCTGCACCAGCTCTTCCCCTTCTTGCCCATGGCAACTCAACAGCAGGCCAGGAATGCTTTACGAGTTGACACCTTTACTTACGACCACAACTGAGAGCAGAATTTCTGTTGCTAAGCCAGGTTGTCCCAAAGGGGCTTTTCCAAAAGGCAACTGGACTTGCATGCCTTTTTTTCCCTTGAAAACGTTTCGCTTCTCATTCAAGACACTTCTTCGGTTCTAACTGAATGACGGGGAATGGATGGGTTTATACTCTTTATATTCATGCAATAGGTTGACAAGCGAATCACGTCCGATTTTACCTTTCTTGCCCCGAACAAGTGAATCACTTAGTTGTTAAGTGAATCACCTGGGTGTTAAGTGGATCTGGCTTCCCCCACAGACACTGCTTGTTGGAAACAGCTGGGAAGGTTGCAAATGGCAACCACAGGGATACTGCAACTGCCATAAATACACATTGTCAAGTGCCCACATTTCGATCACGTGACCGTGAGGACTATTTATATCTATCCTGAGCTACACATAGGTCCAATAACCATTCAACATGATGAGAGTTGTAATCCTCAGATTTGGAGAGGGTCAGGGTAGGCAAGAGGCTCTGGGATGCTGGCTAAGCTTGAGGTGGTCCTTGTGTCTTCTTTGTTGTTGTTAGTCGTGAAGTCGTGTCTGACCCACCGCGACCCCATGGACAACATTCCTCCAGGACTTCCTTTCCTCTACCATCTTCTGGAGTCCATTTAAGCTCACGGCGACTGCTTCAGTGACTCCATCCAGCCACCTCATTCTCTGTCGTCCCCTTCTTCTTCTTTTGCCCTCAATCGTTCCCAGCGTTAGGCTCTTCTCCAATGAGTCCTTCCTTCTCATCAGGTGGCCAAAGTATTTGAGTTTCATCTTCAGGATCTGGCCTTCTAAAGAGCAGTCAAGGGTTGATCTCCTCTAGGACTGACCGGTTTGATCGCCTTGCAGTCCAAGGGACTAGCAGGAGTCTTCTCCAGCACCAGAGTACAAAGGCCTCCATTCTTTGGTGCTCAGCCTTTCTTATGGTCCAACTTTCACAGCCATACATTGCAACTAGGAAAACCATAGCCTTGACTATACGTACTTTTGTTGGCAGGGTGATGTCTCTGCTTTTTAGTATGCTCTCTAGATTTGCCATAGCTTTCCTCCCAGGAGCAAGCATCTTTTAATTTCTTGGCTGTGGTCCCCATCTGCAGTGATCTTGGAGCTCAGGAAAATAAAATCAGTCACTACCTCCATTTCTCCATGTCTTTTTATATTTCCTATGTACAGGTAGTCCTCAACTTACAACAATTCCCTTAGTAACCATTTAAACTTACAATGGCACTGAAAAAAGTGACTTACAACCCCGTTTCACACTTGCAAACCTTTGTAGCATCCCCATGGTTGTGTGATCAAAATTCAGATGCTTGGCAACTGGTTCATACTGGTTCAAGCCAGTTTTATTTAACAGCCGTGTTACTAACCTATCAACTGCAGTGATTCACTTAACAACTATGGCAAGAAAGCTCATAAAATGGGGCAAAACTCACTTGACGACAACAGAAATTTTGGCCGTCAGTCGAGGACCGCTTTGTCATGCAAATCCAGTTACTGGGTTCTCTCTCCTTGGTGAATTCATCCAATCTCCCTAGAAAGCCATCTAAGTGAACAGCTTAGTTAACAGCAGCGCCTACATCTAGTGGACTTGCGTTCAAGGTGAGTCCCACAGGACACTTTTGCCCCAGAGAGCCACCTGGTTGCAGACAACCCTGCCAGTGTGATCTCTACTTTACCTTATTCTGTTTTGCAAGCAGCCTTGGAGGCAGAAGCAGCTGCAGTATTTCGTTCCTGCTCCCGTTCTCGTATCCAGCGACACAAATGCCTGGAGAGAAAATCACGAACCATCTCAGTGTTGCAAACAGCCAAACAGACACACTACAACTAATCCTCAACTTACAACCGTTCATTGAGCAATCATTTGAAGTCACCATGGCACTGAAAAAGTCCACACATTCCCAGCCAGCGAGCTGTGCAAACAGGTGAGGCCAAATTCACTGAACAACTGCAGTGATTCCCTTAAGAACCATGGAGGAAAAAAAGTTCCTAAAATCAGGCGTGACTCACTTAATGCCTTGCTTAGCAACGGTCATTCTGAATCCAATTTTGGTCATATGTTGGGGACTACCTGTACTTATTGGGAACCCACATGTTTTTTCTTTAAACTGTCTCCCTACCTACCCCATTGGAGCAATTATTCTCAACTTAGCCTTCCCACCAAGTTGGCTTCCTGATCTGTTCCACCAGAGAAGCTGATGGTTGTCTTGGAGTAGGGGAGTCAAACTCAAGGCCCGCGGGCTGCATCCAGCACGCAAGGTGCTTAGATCTGCCCATGGGGCAGCCCTGCAAACAGCGAAGGACCGCCCTACGGTGCCTCTGCCAGTGAAAATGGAGCTCAGGAGAGCTGCGCTCTGGCCCTCCTGAGTTCCATTTTTTCTGGCAGAGGGCTGCAGGAGGCCATCACAGCTGAAAACGGAGCTTGGAGCCCGTTTTCACTGTCAGACGGCTGCAGGAGGCCATCACAGCTGAAAACGGAGCTTGGGAGCCCGTTTTCGCTGGCAGAGGGCTGCAGGAGGCTGTTGCAGCTGAAAGCAGACCTCGGGTGCCGGCTTTCTCTGGCAGAGCACTCAGGCTGCCACAGCCATCGACACTAATGACGTCTAGCTGTCCATGCCCACCCTGGCCATGCCCCCCCCCAAGTCAAACACAACCTTGATGCAGCCCTCAATGAAATCGAGTTTGACACCCCTATCTTGGAGGAAATGATGATCCTTCTCCTTGGCATAGAAATTTGGACCTGGGAGGGGGGATCTGTCCTCAGGAGACCCTCCCCACTGCAGCTGCCCCCAACTCATTCAAGTCAAACCTTGAGAAGCAATGAACAAGTCACTCACGTTGGTCTCCTATCCATTCGATGACTCTGGTGGGCCCAGGAAGTTCAAAGAGATGCAGGTCGTTGTATCTAAGCAAGATGAATGGGGAGAAGGAGGGCATATTCAATGGGGGGGAAGGAAGAGGTCAATGGTCTTCCCCACTTTCAGTCCCAATGAAGACAGCAATGCTCCATCTTAAGGCCATATTAGGGGGAGCATTGACCGACTCTGAAAACCTTGGGGTTGTCTGAAGAGCGCAATAATAAGCAAGGCCATCAATGGATGGAGCACCCAAGATCCATGGCTGGGAGATAATTGCAGGTAGTCCTTGGCTTATAATCATTTAAAATGACAATGACACTAAAAAAGTCACTTATGACCAATCTTCAAACTTAAAGCCATAACTGCATCCCCATTTAACAGAGGTGGAGGGGACCTTATAGGTCATCTAGTCCAACCCCCTGCCCAAGCAGGAGACCCTATATCATTTCTGACACATGGCAGTCCAATCTCTTCTAAAAACCTCCAACTTCTGAAGGCAAAGCTGTTCCATTGGTTGATTGCTCTCGCTGTCAGAAAACTTGTTATTTCCAAGTTGAATCCCTCCTTGATCAGTTTTCATCCATTATTCCTTGTCTGGCCTTTAGGTGCTTTGGAAAATAGCCCCTCAAATATTGAAGGATTGCTATCATGTCTCTCCTGGTCCTTCTCTTCACTAGACTAGCCATACCCAGTTCCTGCAACTGTTCTTCATATCAGAGAATTAGATTAGAAGAACTTTATTGTCATTGTACTACAAAGAAACTGTGGATGCACCCCAGCAACTGTTCGCAATACAATAAAACCAAAGCACTTAAAAATGAAGATAAGAAAGACAGAGTACCCATGTACTCTCCATTTGCAATTTGAGAGTACAATATCTATGAATATACACAAAATATGCCTCCAACACTGACTGTAATGCTTTGCCGAGTATAATACACAAGAGATGGATTGTACTGTAATATGTTATTATACATCTGAATGAGGTATTGAGATTTCACATCTTTTCACATCTTAATAAGATAGTGACCTCGTGTTTATTTGCTGTTTGGATGGCCCAGGGAAAGAAACTATTTTTTAGTCTAGTGCTGTGGGATTTTATTGACCTAAAACACTGTCCAGATGGCAGAAAGTCAAAAAGATAATTGTCAGGGTGTGAGGGGTCTTCTATAATGGCTTTGATTCTGCTTTGGCAGCGGGACCTGGCTAAGTCTTCCAGGGAGGGCAGAGGGCCCTTTGAGTTGTCTTTTATGTTTTAGTCTGCAGTCCCCTAATCATCCTAGTTGCTCTTCTCTGCACCTTTTCTAGAGTCTCAACATCTTTTTTTATAGTGTGGCGACCAAAACTGAGAGCAGTATTCTAGGTGTGGTCTCACTAAAGCTTTATAGAGTGGTATTAGTACCTCACTTGATCTTGACTGTACCTCTCTGTTAATGCAACATAGGACTAGCAATTGGCATTGCATTGACTAGGGGTCATATGATAATCATTTGGAACCTTCTCAGTTGGCTTCTGATAAACAGGATTGATGGTGGAAACCAGATTTGCTTAATGATCACATGATTCGGTTAGCAATTGCAGCCATTTGCTAAAATCAACTCGCTTAACAACTGTCTAGGATTACCTCTAGCTGAGCTCACATAATACTTAAAACTGGTCCCCAAATTAAGTCACTTTCGGAGTTCACACAATACCAATAAACCATAACCTAATCTGGTTTGTCATTAGAAAAATCTACCCTGTGTGAGCTAATAGCCTACATACATCAACTTGATGGCACATAATGAAAAAGCCGACGAGCCAGATTTGCAATACAGAAAACAGACCAAGATTAAGGCTGACCAAGATTAACCATTTATTGAAAAGCTGGTTTGCAACTGACCTTTGCTTGTGGCCCTCCAATGGCAATAGGACTTTGGGGGGGTGGGAGGTGCCTCGAAAGCACCCCATTCATTGGGCCAACAATCCAATGATAGAGCAATGGATTAATTAAATCCTTTCATTCCCCACCATCCAGTCAGAGCTGAGGAAGCTCCTTGGATGAGAAGCGAAAAGTCTTCAAAGAAAAACTAGAAAGTCCAGTTGCCTCTTTAAAAAGCCCCTTTGGGATAACCATGGCTTGGACGACTGAAAATCTCCATCGATCTTTAGCAAATGATTAATGCAACGGCAAAACCAAGAAATAGACATTCCCTCCCTCACCGCACCCCATCCATGCTATCCCATCAGCCTCAAGGGGGCCCTGCCCATGGAAAGGATGGCAAAGGGATCCAGGGCTGCTTGAGTTTGGAAAACAAAAAACCCGCTTGGCTAAAATGAGGGACCGAAGTCGGGGGGGGGGGGGGGGAATTCCGAGGCGGGGACCATGAAGCTCCGCCCCCTCCGATCCGCCCTCCCCCCCCTCTTCCCGCCCCTCCCTTTTGGTCTTTCCGAACCCGTTCCGGTCGTGCCGGTGTTGCTCGCGGGTTGGCTGTGGACGGTGGGCTTTGCGATCCGGTCCGGTCCGGTCCGGCCCGGCCCAGCCTTAGCCGAGACTGCCTTCCCGCCCGCGACCCCGTTTCGCCTCCGTGCAGAAGGGCCTTATTCGCTTGCGGAACGGATCTCGAAGCCAGCCCAGGGCGTTGGGTTTGCACAATACACGCAGGCACGTCCACACCACCTTAAAGGTTAACTCTTAACCTTTAACTTAAGTATTCCCCGAATAAATGCATAGTCGGCCTCTCCTGCAGGAATGCCCGCAGACTACACTTCTTCCTCCCGTCGTGTGAATGCAGCGGGTCGCCCTTTAACTCAGTTCAGTTTCATTCAATTCAATTCAGAATAGAGCTGGAAGGGACCCTGGAGGTCTACTAGTCTAACCTCCTGCTCAAATAGAAGACCTTACACCATTTCAGACATGTGGCTGTCCAGTCTCTTCTCGAAAGCCTCCAGGGATGAAACATCCACAACTTCTGGAGGCAAACTTCCACTGGTTTAATTGTTCTCACTTTTAGGAAGTTTCTCCTTAATTTGAGGTTGCTTCTCTCCTTTATTAGTTTTCATCCCTTGTTTCTTGTCCTGACTTCTGGCGTTTTGGAAAATAAATTGACCCCCTCTGCTTTGTGGCAGCCCCTCAAATACTGGAATACTGCTATCATGTCCCTCCTAATCCTTATTTTTTCTAGACTAGCCGAGCCCAGTACCAGATAACAAATAAAACAAAATCAAGAATTGGAAGGGACCTTGTAGGTCATCTAGTCCAACCCCCTGCCCAAGCTGGAGACCCTACGCCATTTCTGACAAATCGGAGTCCAGTCTCTTCTTGAAAGTCTCAAGTGATGAGGCTCCCACAACTTCCAAAGGCAAAGCTGTTCCATTGGTTGATTGTTCTCACTGTCAGAAAGTTTCTCCTTATTTCCAGGGTTAAATCTCTCCTTGTTCAGCTTCCATCCATTATTCCTTGTCTGGCCTACAGGTGCTTTGAAAAATAGCTTGGCCCCCTTCTCTCTGTGGCAGCCCCTCAAATATTGGAAGACTGCTATCATGTCCCCCCTGGTCCTTTTCTTCCCTAGACCAGCCATGCGTGCAGTTCCTGCAACCGTTCTTCATATGTTTTGGTCTCCTGGCCTTTAATCATCTTAATTGCTCTTCTTTGCACTTTTTCCAAAGTCTCACTGACTTTGGAAAAAATGCAGAGAAGAGCAACTCAGCAATTCTTAAATAATCTAATAATTAGAGCAACTCTAACTAACCATCTTGAAGTGTTCCCACCAGCTTCTTAGTTTTGGGCTTTTGTGGGGGTTTAGTTGCCTCTTGAAAAAAAGGGTGGGGAAACCACCTTTGGGATAACCATGACTTGGATGACTGAGAATCTCTATAGACCAGTGTTTTTGGCACTGAATGCAGTGCCAAAATGGGAGCACATGTGTGTGTGCGGGGAGAGTACCGGAAACCGGAAGAGCAGCTCCCTAGCACGCATGCGCGCCCAAGGAAGCTGAGCTCCTGGTTTCTGACACGTGCTTGCATACCGGCCACGTGGTCTTCCAGTTTCTGGCACGCATGCACGTGCGAAGACCAGCTGGCCAATGTGCATGCATGTACATGCACACCAGGGAGCTGCTCTTCCAGGTTCTGGTGCTCCCACACATGCAAAGACCAGCTGGCTGGTGCATATGCGCATGCACATGCCGGAACTGGAAGAGCAATGGGCGAGGGCTGGTGTGCCCGGAGAGATGGCTCTGCGTGCTACTTCCAGTACGTATGCCATCGGTTCGCCATCACGGCCCTAGACAATCAGCTCTTTAGCCAGGGGTGGAATTCAATTTTTTTAACAACAGTTCTGTGGGCGTGGCTTAGGTGATGGGTGTGGCTTGGTGGTCATGTGACTGGGTGGACATGGCTTGTGGTCATGTTATTGGCTGGGCGTGGCCAACTCAATATCACTCACATCAAGGCACGCATCTCCTCGCCTGGCCTCTCATGACTGGGGATGCTACAACAGTCATAAGTGTGAAAAATGGTCATAAGTCACTTTTTTCAGTGCCATTGTAACTTTGAATGGTCATTCCATACAAGCAAAGTACCAGCAAAGGAGGGGAAAAAAACTCCAGAGATGTTCCTGAGACAGGAAGTCTAGTCCTGCCATAAGGGTTAACGGAGAGGCAGTTTCTGTAAGCAACACCAGAATGTTTCCTTCCTGCCTTCCTTACAGGATTAGCCCAGTAATTTCTTCTAACAACCAGTTCTCCAAACTGCTTAGAATGTTAACAACCAGTTCTAGCGAATAGGTGTGAACTGGTAGAATCCCACCCCTGTCTTTAGCATCTTTGGGTAACTATTAAAATAGGTGTTAGCTGTCTGCTGATTTTAAGAATGGCTCTATTAAGCCAAAGTTTAGATAAAATGATTTAGATGGTTGAAGCTAATTCATGGCTCACTTGCAAAAAGTTCTTACTGGTTTGCTACTAAAATTCATGTGAAGGCAACCAGAGGATTGATTTCTCCAAAACTTCAGGTCCAAGCCATTGTTTGTGACATCACTTGCTCCTCCAAATCTCATTGGCTGGATGACCATGGCATGTGTCAACATGTCCAGCATTGTTGGTTATTCTGGAGAGCACCACTGGCTAGATCAGGTTCAGAATACCTGGATCCAAAGAAAAGTGACTGCAAAATAGTTTTATTTACTATTTATTTATATAGGGGGCGAGATTAGAAAAATGGGGTTCAGCACTACACTAAAGAAGTGGTCATACCTGCTTCAATAGTAACCTCCACACCTGGGACTGAATCTCACTGTCTACAATGGCAAAGGTACACACCTCCATAAGGGCTTAGGGGTCAGCCGGCTAACAATAATATCCATTAAGGAATATCTGTAAGACTTAGGAGCCAAAACATTGGCTTCAGAACATCCCAGTTTGCTAGCCATGGTGACCACAAAGATAGACATTGATCTGGCTCAATGATTTGGAGAGGTTAACCTAAAAAGATACTTCCTTGACCAGATATATTTCTGTTGTTGTTGCACGTTTGTTAAAACTACAATCCATTACATATCAAGTCCTGCTTCTAAGATGCTGACACCTCCTTTTGATGGCAATTATTGTCAAAAGTGACTATTGTACATTAGCCCTGGAAGGAAAGGGGGACGCCAATTTTTGAAGAGTGGACTTTAAAACTGATTGAACTGGCCAAGATGGCAAATTTTACAGATTAAGATTACAGAGTTGGAAGGGACCTTATAGGTCAGCTGGTCCAACCCCGACCCAAGCAGGAGACCCTACACCATTTCTGACAAATGGCAGTCCAGTCTTTTCTTGAAAGTCTCAAGTGATGAAACTCCCACAACTTCTGAAGGCAAGCTATTCCATTGATTGACTGTTTTCCCTGTCAGAAAATTTCTCCTTATTTCTACGCTGAATCTCTCCTTGTTCAGTTTCCATCCATTGTTCCTTGTCTAGCCCACAAGTGCTTTGTAAAACAGGTTGACCCCCTCCTCTCTGGCAGCCCCTCAAATATTGGAAGACTGCTATCATGTCTTCCCTGGTCCTTCTCTTCACTAGACTAGCCAGTATGGTGGCCTAGAGGTGGAGCCTCTCACTTCACAATCAGGAAGCTGTGAGTTTGATCCTAGGTGGCGACAGATGCGCACAAAGAGAAAATATCTGCTATGACCTCCACATAGGTGTCAGAAAGGGCATCCAGACAGTAAATGCTCAGCTCCATTCAGTTACCCCGACTCTATCCTGATGCAAGGGATTAGAGAGTCATTACAAATGGGGGGAAATGGAGAGTTTAGAAGATTAGTTTTACCTTTGAGGTTATCTGTTGACTGCTTTTTTTTAATATATAGCAAACAGAGATTGTGTTCATTGGATTGCTAGATAAATAAATTTCCACATCAGATATTTTTATGTGACATAGTATTTGTATCAAATATAGATGGGGAAATTTATAACTATTAGTACACGTTTTGTAAGGAGAGGAGAACACATAGGGTAATTTTGATATATTTATCAGCATTCAGCCAGGCTGGATTTTCTATGTTTAATATCAGTGTGGATGATATATTCTCTATTCGTTATCCTTTTATTTGTGCATAAAGCTTTTTTATTTGTATTATTAGCCTCTGAGGGTTGTTAGTTCGTTTCTTCTTCTTTTTCTTTATTTTGTATTTTAACTTGGAAACAAATAAAAAAAAATTAAAAGTGACTGTTGTACATTAATTAGAATCAAAGCTAGAAGCTCCGGTATCCTGTCAAAGTTCTTTCCCAAAGAACTCCCCTGAACTATTTCTTTTTATTTTTTATTTATTAGATTTTTAATCCCACCTTTATTTTTATAAATAATTTGAGGAAGTGAAATATTGAATGTTCCTTCCTCCTCCAGTTTTCCTCACCACAACAGCCCTGTGAGGTGGGTTGGGCTGACAGAGAGAAAGAGGAGAGAGAGAGAGAGAGAGAGCGAGAGAGAGAGAGAATGGCCCAAAATAAGTTAGCAAAATCACCCCTGAACTGAGGAGAAGGTGTGACTGTCTCTCCATTTCTCAAACAGCCCAGCATCTTGAAAAAAACTCGAAAGCAGACAGAACCCCTGGAAGATCTCTCAGCGACTAACAAAAGCCTCCGTCTCCAGATAGAGGAACTAAGGGGGACTTTAGCCTGCTTGGACGCTGAGAACCATATGTTTCTCCAAGACAAAAACTGCATCAAGGAGCAGCAGAAGTCTCTCCGGGACACAGTGGATTGCCTTAAGTCCACCATAGAACACCTGCAGAAAACTGTGGAGGACATCAGAGAAAGGTTGGAGCACGCCAACACGGTGATCCAAGAATTGGCGCTGCAGAACAAGTCTTTGGTGAAAACCAACGAGGAGCTCAATGAGGAGATGCACGAAGCCACCAGCCAAGTGGCCTTCTTCAAAGACGACAAGCCCGCCGAAGAGAATAACCTCGAAGAGATGCGGAATCTTCCGTCGGAGGTTCAGAAGTACCTGCACAGCCTGGAGGATAAACTGGCTAAGATGGAGCACAGCTACCATGTGGAGAGAATCCATTTGAGCCAACTGAAGGAGAAAGTCACAAATCTTCAGGCAGTCAGAGAAAACAGGAAGAAGCACATCAAAGAGCTGCAGAACCAACAGGACCTCTGTGTCCAGCAGGCCATGTTGATGCGGCAGGATCAGGAGAAACAGAGGCCGACGAGCATATTGATGCATGAACAAGTGGAGGCCAGGCTGGTGCGGGACAGGTCAAAGGAAAGGAAGGTTCTTCATTGGTTATGGATGGTAGCCAAAATTCTGATGATGTTCCTGTTTGGCTGCTCTCTATTCCTTGGCCTTGTCTTGGTGTACACTCGCTTTATTAATCCGCTATTCATCTCTGACTCACTTTTGGTGCTCCTCAGTGACCAGAGCATCGACAGACTTGTGCACCGTTTCTCCCTTTATCTTGAGTGGAGAAATGACGGCCTTTTACCGTTTTGACAAGCAAAAGGAATCCCGTGTTGTATATTTGAAGAACCCTTGTACAGTATATGTACAGTATATATATATATATGTAGAAGTGGGTGGGTGTATTTGTGCATGTGCCTATTTTTTATTTGTATATATCTCTACTTTTTTCTATTGTTTTATTTCCTTCTATTAGCTTTTGCTTAGTTAAAGAAAGCCAAAAATAAAAATAGTAATGATGAATCCTGCATGTTTTCCTCGTGCAACTTTCCTAGCACGGCAGCAAATATGCTCCAAAGCAAGTCTTGGTGAGCAATCCTGATTCTCATGGGATACAGAACAAAAGCTCTTCTCCCTTTCTCCATCACACTATTTAATTCATTAAAAATGGCTTCTTCTTCTTCCGCTTCTTCCAGCTGTTGTTTAATTTGCTGACACATAGCAAGCGCCATATCTAGAAAACAAAGGGCTTCTCCCATAGTGTCCTTGCCTTCTTTCCTTATTTTTAGATATTGTTTTTTTAGTTCATCGAGAGGTAGAGCCATTATAAACTTTTTTTTCTTCTTTTTCTGTATCCTCTTGTTATTAAGCCAATCAAATATTTCCAAACTTAAAACAATTCCCCAAAATCCCAAAGTCCCAAAGTCATCAAACAGTCCAGGCAAAGCACAAACTTCTTCCTTTTACAGTTTCTCTTTCTGGGGTAAAGTCAATTAGGGAAAAGAACCCAATCTGTATTTTAAATCTTTTTTGCAGTTTGCTTCTAATCTCTTTATCTTCAAAGCATCTCCTCCAACAAAGTCTTGAAATATTTTTTTTTTCCAAGCCTCTCCCTTCCCACTTGTAACAAAGGGCTTTAAATTTTTACCTTCTGTCAGAGAGCAGATTTTCCATGTCCATTTGTTAGTTCCATAAGGGAGGGAGAGTAACTTTCTCTTTCAACACTTTCCTTTGCCGCTGAAAACCTCCATTAGAGACATTGTAGCATCCAAAAAAAAATAGTAATTTTCCAGGTATTAGATATATCCTTAAAGTCCCGGTTCAGCCAAGAAAACTTTCATTTTAAAACTTCCTTCTTCTTCCTCCTGCACATTCTTAATCCAGTTGCCGGCTTCTTCGTGGTGGCCATTAAGACCGCCGCTCCACCGCCTTGAGAAAAGGGGGTTATTGCCGGCTGGGGAGGGGGTCTGCGATACCCTCAACCCCTGTCCAGATCCCCCCTATCTTCAGCTACCCCAACAGGGCAGCCTTATCCTCCAGATCCGTCAGGATCGGAGGCACCAAGACAGCTAGCACAGCAGGGATCGCGGAGAAACGCGAATCCCTGCTGTCACCGAAGCCTGGCAAACCCTATTACATTTCCCCACTCTGCAGAGTTCATGGCAGTCTGTCACTGAATAGTAGTTAAGCACAAGCAAGCATAAAGTGGTAGCTGACAACATCATTTAGAGTTGAAATGGAATTTTGCGAGATAACAGCATTAATGGGGACTGGATATTTGAAGAAGTTTAGCAGGTCTGGTTCAACTTCTGTACTAATCTGAACTGGAAATACTTGCCAATATCCACCCTGGCAATCAGAAATATCTGCAGGGTATGGTAAAAAAAAAAAATCAAGATGGCAGCTGGGATAGTGTAATCAAAGCTCCATCTATTTCAAGGTTCAATTCACTTTTGACATCGTCATCCACAATAATTAGAAGAGAATTCTTTATTGGCCAAGTGGGATTGGACACACAAGGAATTTGTCTTGGTGCAAATGCTCTCAGTATACATAAAAGAAAAGATACATTCGTCAAGAATCATAAAGTACAACACTTAATAATAGTCATAGGGTACAAATAAGTAATCAAATCATACTAGGAAACAAGTCAATAAAATTGTAAGGATACAAGTGACAAAGTTACAGTCATACAGTCATAAGTGGGAGGGGATCGGTGTTAAGGAAGGATGGGAAGATTGACAGTAATAGTAGTGCAGACTTAGTAAATAGTTGGACAGTGTTGAGGGAATTATTTGTTTAGTAGAGTGATGGCGTTTGGGAAAAAACTCTCCTTGTGTCTAGTTCTGATGTGCAGTGCTCTATAGTGTAGTTTTGAGGGAAGGAGTTGAAACAGTTTATGTCTGGGATGTGAGGGGTCTGTAAATATTTTCACAGTTCTCTTTTTGACTCGTGCAGTATACAGGTTGTCAGTGGAAGGCAGGTTGGCAGTAATTGTTTTTTCTGCACTCCTAATTACTGTCCTGTTGGCTTGCAGAACTCTCAATGCGGAGTAGGGATGCTGGAGTGGAAAAAGTGAAACTAATAGAATGAACAAAAAAGAATGGAAAGAATTGTAAAACTGTGCCTCATGATTCACATGAAATCTGTGTGTAAAATTGTATCTAATTTCATGCAAGGATGAAAATCAAAATGCACTTTCATCATGTGCATATCAGCATATTTGTGCCTGTCAAAAGAGCGATTAAATTAAGACCAAAACATGATTTCATGTACTGTTAAAGGAGTTCCATTAAATTAGTGCCTACCAATCTGACATAACTATGTCAACATGTGCTATTGGTCTCATGGTGTCATTGACATTTAAAAAAATATATAATTTGTGTCAATGTATGAAAACTTGAGGCAATTGAATTAAACATGCTGATTAAACTTAAGCCTTATGATATAAAATATACCAAGATGTCCAGATTGACATTGAAACAATTGACTTGTCCATTATTTGAGGATTGAAGTCTGAATTTGGTCTATTGCATTTGAAGTCCATTAACTGGGAGTCTCATTGTATATGAAGTTGATTTTGAAATGCATATGGGGCAAAATATATCTTTGCATTTTCTGATCTTCCAAAAGAACCTTCAGGTTTTCTTCCTTATTCTTCCAAGCGTTGAAGAACGTTTTCTCTACTTAACAAGTTTTTGTGCTGCCTCAATCTTGTTGGTTAACAAGATATATTTTTGAACTTCTTTTGATGCTATTTTTGAGTTTGCATGTTATTGCTGGATGAGAGAGAGAATGCAAATAATTGTGCTGTCCCAAAGACGCTTTTTCAAAAGGCAACTGGAATTTGTTTTTCTTTGAAGACATTTTGCTTCTCATCCAAGAAACTTCTTCAGTTCTGAAGCATAATCAAATCGTATTATCCTATTAGAAGGCTAATACTACCATACATCAAACATATATTGGAAACATCCAACAAAGTATCCCAAAGGTGCATTTCAAAAGGCAACTGAACTTTCTTGGTTTTTTCCCCCCTTGAAAACGTTTTGTTTCTCACCCAAGAAGTGAATGGTTGTAAGTCAAAAACTACTTATACTGATCTTATTATACTAATACTGTTGCATTAGTCACATTAGCCATGTTGCATTAGCCATGTTTCTCTGTTTCTCTGCGTCATATATGTGGATATATGCATAATTTTATATTTATTTATTTTGTCTTGTTTATGTAGTATATATTGGAGGTGGTGACCCTTTGAGAGCTGAATGCAACGAAATTTCATTTTAATATGTGCCAATTTGTGTACATTCAAGGTGACAAGTTATTCTAAGTCTAAGGCTATTAGATTACTCACCAGGGACTGAAGAATGGCAAATCACCTGAAAGTACAAGCAAGACAATTCTTCATTTTAGTCAGGACCATAAAGTCCATTTTGTACAGGAAGCCTGGAAGTCTTAACAGAATAAGAGTTGGAAGGTACCTTGGAGGTCTTCTAGTCCAACCCCCTGCTTAGGCAGGAAACCTAAAACCCAGGGGTGGGATTCAAATTTTTTAAACAACTGTTTCTGTGGACGTGGCTTTTTTGGTGGGCGTGGCTTGGTGGTCATGTTATTGGCTGGGCGTGGCCAATTCAATATCACTCACATCGAGGCACACATCTCCTCGCCTGGCCTCTCATGACTGTGGGGATGTTGTAACAGTTGTAAGTGTGAAAAATGTTCATAAGTCACTTTTTTTCAGTGCCATTGTAACTTTGAATGGCCACTCCACGCAAGCAAAATACCAGCAAATGAGGGGGAAAAAACTCCAGAGACCCAGAGACAGGAAATCTAGTCCTGCCAAGAATGTAATAAAATTAACGGAGAGGCAGTTTCTTTAAGCAACACCAGAATGTTTCCTTCCTGCCTTCCTTACAGGATTAGGCCAGTAATTTCTTGTAATACCGGTTCTCCAAACTGCTTAGAATGTTAACAACCGGTTCTAGTGAATAGGTGCGAACTGGTAGAATCCCACTTCTGCTCAAACCGTTTCAGACAAACGATTGTCCAATCTTGTCTTAAACACTTCCAGTGTTGAAGTACCCACCACTTCTAGAGGCAAGTCATTCCACTGATTAATTATTCTAACTGTCAGGAAATTTCTCTTTAATTCTAGGTTTCTTCCCTCCTTGATAGTTTCCATCCATTGCTGCTCCTTAATATTGTATTAGACAAATTCTACTCCTTTTAATCAGTGCCTAATTTAGCATTTTTTAAAATGTTGGATGCCAGAAAATGTTCACACAAAAACGATTATTTACATTTGCTTACAATTATTAAGTTTTTGCTTCTTAGGAAACAGAAAAGACAATTCATAATCACACTTAAAGACACAGGGACCGTATTTTGTTGTTAAAAACAAAGAGAAACCTGAAAAAAAAAGAGGAAAATCTGAAAGAGGTTCATAAGGATAATACAAGAATGTTATGTTTATAGCTTTGCTTGGCAAGAAGCCCATCATCAAAACTAGTCCACACCACACCGAGCTTCCCTCTGCTTGCTTAAGTTTTCATCAACCCGAAATTAATGATGGGAGGAGCATCCCACTTCATCCTGCCTGACCAGCTGGAAATTTTATAAGCAGGAGAGGTGAGGGTGCTTTTGCTGCCTCCAGCTTGGACTTGGCTCGCGCTTAAATCGCACCCACATGGCTTCTGTAAAACTCCTCACTTGCATTTTAATCAGTATAATCCTGCAGTTTTTAATCTTAGTCCAAGCTGCTACCAGAATCTACTATATTGGAGCTGTGGAAGAATATTGGGATTATGCACCCA